TCGCTCTAACCTTATTGTAAAAGGGGTTTAACAGCAGCAGCAAAGGCAGTAGCCATGTATCCAGCCTTTTCCTCTGCTGTGCTCACTTTAAATCACATCTGAAGGTGGGGAGTAAGCAACAATTGAGCTATTATATGGATATCATATGGTGCTAGGATATATGCAGAAAAAATATGTGCGATAATTGCCCGTATACGATGATTTTAACCCGTAGGATGTTACCGGTTGACGCACCTCCTTTACAGCCTTTAAATCCAATGCCTCCCACTTTTTTCCCCCCCTGTGGAGTGTTAAACACCGGGAGTGCCGAGGGACCCATAGCCGAAAATTCCCCCATAATAATTGCATCTTTGATGATAACGTTTAGCAGGGTTATTACTGTAATCCCGTACCCCGTACCCAACACCCCCCTCCCATTCCCCTTTCTTTACTACTGGATTGTAGGAGGGTGGAGCAGAGGGTTCGGAGGTTTCTTTTGTCTCCAATACTTTAATTTCTTCAGCAGCTGTTGCAGTTGACCGTCACTGAGGCTGGATCGCATCTGCCGATGAACCGAACTGTCTGAATTGTCTGAGTCTGAGTTGGGGTCAGGAAGGGAAGGGTACAAGTCCGGTTCTGCCGGAGACTCTGGGTCTGGTTCCAATTCCGATTCGGGGTCTTCATCCTCTAGGTCGAAGGTGACCGCGTTTGCACTTTCTACTTGTACTTTTGGACGCGAGTGCCGTTTCACTTTATCTTCCCCCTTATGCTGAGGAGGCTTCTGTGATGCCGTGCCAGGCACAACGGGGGGGGGGGGCTTCCCTCTCTGCCCGCATTTCTTTTAAGGTCTCTAGGACAGAGTTCCATTGGTGTCCACAGTTTTTGCCACATGGTTCCCCCAAAGTCTCACCATTCCGATACGGAAAATATCAGACAAATGTCTGCAAAATGTCCCCATTTTTGGCCTAACTTAATTAATCGTATCAGCTGCTTCACCGGCGCTTCTTTCCCTCTCTTGGAGAGGATTCCGGCAAGCAAGTTGGCTGCAGCTTCCTGATCCATAGCTGCACCTGGGGGTTAGAGAGCTACTCTAACGCCGGCTTTCCGCGTCTGCCTGGACCTCTTGTCCCCGGCAGGGCTTCCCCAGCCGATTCTTCCCGCTCCGACCCTCCTCTTGCTGCTTACCACAGTCTCGGAGATCTTTGGTCGGGAACCATCCTCTGCTACCAGATGTCGGAGTGGGAGTCGGGCCCGGAGTAACGACGCAACCTCAATATGAGTATGATCGTTCTCCTTTATTGTCTGCATACGCAGTGTTTATATAGGATTTAAAGTAAGCCGCGCGCCTAAAGCAAAGTTATCATTGGTCCCCAACAACTGTCACGCGCCACGGTCTCTCTTCTGATTGGTGATCGCCTGCTGTCACACACCACGGTCTCTCTTCTGACTGGTGATCGCCCGCTGTCACGCGCCACGGTCTCTCTTCTGATTGGTGATCGCCTGCTGTCACACACCACGGTCTCTCTTCTGACTGGTGATAGCCCGCTGTCAAGCGCCACGGTCTCTCTTCTGACTGGTGATCGTCCGCTGTCACACGCCACGGTCTCTCATCTGATTGGTGATGGCAAGCTGTCCACAGGGTTGCTTACATTGCTCAAGCAAGATGTACTTCTGGAAAGTCCCCGGGGCACTTCTGCAAGAGTTGTTTACTGTTCTCAGCTAAAGGCGTTCAAGAAAGGTCAAGAGCCAGGGCTAGGCCCTGGCCTTTTCCCTTACACCCTAAAGACTGGGTTGCTCACTCCAAGGAGTGCAGGTCTTCCTCTGTCATGCAACCATCCTTCCACACTGCATGGGACCAGCTTCCCCTGTTTTCCCAGTGGGAGCCCTGCAGGGATGTTGACAGAGCATCTGCATGGGGCAAGGCCCAAGAGCTCAGCAGAGCACCTTTACTTGGACTTTGACCATCCACACAACCTGCTAAGTGGTGTGAGCAAAGGAGTTTTCCTGCCTTCCCCCAGCTAGCCTCACCCCCCTAACCACGCAGAAAGACCTGGTTGCCCTTGGAAAGCTTTTAAGGGTAAGGAGGTTACACCATCCACAGGGTGTGGGTGGGATCCAGCCCCCCTTGATCCACATGGAATGCTGGATCAAGCATGGCACAGTGGTGCTGACCACACAACGCATGTGGTGGGCCATCCTGGTGGGACAGGGACCATGTGGCACTGAGACCTGGGTTGATTGATAAAACAGCTGGCTTGCTGGATCCTTCTCTGTCTGTGTTGCCCCTTTGGTCTGGCTTTTCCCCGGTGGCCACAGCATCTGCTGTCCTCTCTCCTATCTTTGCATTGCTTCTCCTTCCCTGTAACCAGGCCATCCTGGAGGGATGGGCTGGGAACTGGGATGCCCCGGTTCTCACCATGCATCTTTGGCAGCAGTGCTCTGCTCCTTGGTGTGACCCCAGGAGAGCGACAGTGGTGCAATGATTTCCTCATCATTGATATTGCCCTCCTCTACTGAGCTCTGAGACCTGGTGATGGTCTAATTAGTGCTTTTGCATCATAGGGCTGTCTGGAGCACTGTGTTTTCCTGTCCTTGCATGGAGGATATCTCACCGGGGCTGCAAAAGCATCAGTCCTGTTTAAAACTGGATTGATTCAGTATGATCTAGGACAGATCTGGGAGAAAGATGGGCTTGGGAGAAAGGAGAGGAGCAGGATGTATCCCTCCAACAGGCATGGTGCTAGGAATGGTGGCTTCCTCACTCCCCTCCACCTCCAGGGATGCTCAGAAGTGTGAGGGTTTAGGACCTGGACTGGTAGGGCAGAGTCTGATCCACAGTAGCTGTGATGCTCCATGAGGAAGCACTGGGGGTAGCTTCCCATCTCTTAGTCCCTTAGTTGGGGACACTGGGAACACTTCTCTGCTTCTTCCCTGCAGGGGCTGGAGGCTGGTAGGGATGGGGAACACAGGTTGATGCCTGTGCTTTGCTTTCCCAGGGTGGACTTGACACTCAACAGAGGACTGAGCACGGTTCCTGCTTTCCACAGTTGGAGTTGGGAAGTGGGGGGAAGGCAGTATGGGACAGAGCTGGGTACCTCAGAACTGGGAGCAGTGATGCTTGGGCACTGCTTCTGCCTCTGCCACCGACTGACTGTACAGCCTTGGTCATGTCACTTCACTGACAGGAGCTGCCATCCCTCTGCTAGCAGGCTGTGCAACATGCCAGGGGTCTTTCAGGGAGAGCAGAAACCTGGAAGGCTGTGATGAGGTGGGACGGGCGGTGTTTGTGTGGGGGTGCTCCAGCCATTGCTTTCCTGGCAGGAGAGCAATCATCCATTGCAAGGGAGGTTCTGCCTGGCAACTGAAAGCAGTGGGGTTGGTGGACCCCTGGGGGATGTCGATAGAGTGGCAGGCCAGGCTGGTGGGGACGGGACCCTTGCATGGCCATGGTGGTGTCAGCGATGTCAATGTCGGCTGTGTCTCCTTGGGGAACGATTCGGAGAAAACTCCAGGAACAAACTCGCCAACAAAGTTTTCAAGTTGACAAGCAGGTATTCTTTATTGCGGCACCGGGAGACACGGGGGATAGCTCCTTCTAACGTATGTCCCCGTATTGCTACACAAGTCATCCTTATATAGTCACTGGGCATACACACATAGTCATGAGGCTATGCATGAATTACATAATTTTCCAGAAAGTTTCCTGCATGCGTACAAAATAATGGTGGTGGTCTCTGAGGGTCGTTTACTTCCAACAATCTTCAGCACTTCTGGCAGCCTTTGAAGCACGCGCAGTAGATGTTTACGCCATCTTAATTAACATTACAGACATAGCAATCATCCTGTCCTTCTACTTATCAGTTAGTTTAACTGCACCCATCCTGGACATATGCTAGTCCCAGATACTCCCCATCCCCAGGTCGTTTTTCTATCCTGCTTTTCTTACACTTTTTGCACTAAGGTCATAAGGACCTAAAATTATGTCAGCTACAATGGTTTATCTTCATGCACCTCAGTTATTTTACATTGCTACTGTTACAAAGTCATCAAACTTAACGCTACTTAAAACTGATTCCACTTATTTACAAATGTTTACATTCCATTTTGTGCTTTTGTGCCTCCTTGTCTCAGGAGGAAAGTGCTCCCAGTCATGCAACCGCCATTGACGCTGGCTGTGTTGTGGTTTCCTGCCGAAAACACATGACTCCCGCTTTTCCTTGGAGATAACCGGGGTGGGTGCTGCCAAGAGCCTGCACAAATTCCCCATTTGTTCTGATGTGGACTATTGTACAAGGGGGGTTAGGTAAATTGTCCAGGGGGGTTGTACAAGGGGGTATTGCTTAAGTTGCATGGCTTACTCAACAGATATATCGCTCAGCAAATACCTATTGTGCCTTACCATGCAGTACCAGAACATAACCTCCTGATAAGGAAAAATATTCCAATTTATATAAAGGTTGGTGCGAGGGGTTAACCGATGCAAGACAGATAGGGTTAAGGAATGATTTATTAGGGGCTACAGCTGTTTGCTAAACAATGTGTACTGCTTGCTTAACATTTATTGTGCATGCCAAAGCAGGATGGGAGGATGTAAGGCTATTGATAAGAGGAAGGAACCGTAGCGTGGTTCCTGCCCTCTGGATCCCTAAACCGGCTGAGAACAGCTTTGCAGTTTGGACGGTGATCAAACAACCAAGAAGCATGCACGACAACTAAAGGTGAAAAGTTCAGGCCCAAGGAAGACTCGTTTACTTCATCTGGAGACCCTTGCCCACGACCACCAGGAGGCACTGTGCATGTGCAAAGGACCTTTGAGCTAATTATAATACGAAGCGGGGATAGGACATGAATATGTATAGGCGTATTGTGTAACCTAATGCATATGTAGTACTTTAGAGGATAAAAATAGAGAACAACATTGGGGCACGCATGCGTTTGGAGGAGCAATCCCCCATGCTCCTCAGCTGAATAAAGGCATACCTACTTTACAATTTTAGCAATTTCTGGAGTCTATCCGCGTATCAGTTCCCCGTCCATAGGAGTGGAACAAAGCGGATGCACCGATCCAGGCCTGCTCACACCCTGCTCCTTGTCCCCCGCCTCTCCTGGGACATGTGAGTGCCACTGACACCTCCGCACCCTGAGACACACCACCAGTCACGGGGTGGGGATCAGTGGGGAGCAGAGCTGGTGGCTTTTAGCAAGGTTACACCCTGGGGGGGTTCACCGCCATCTGCCTCCTGGAGCTGTGCCGAAGGTGCTCGGTGACGGCGTGAGGGTGGGAACGAGGATGTGGCCGAGGGGCTCTGCTCCTCCGACCCATTGCTTTGCTGCTCCGAGGGCAGCTCCACACCCTGCAGCGGGGTCCAGAGGCACCCATAGAAGGAACCAGTATGTCGGAGCGAGCACCCCTCACCCAGTGTCACCTGGTGTCCTGTCCCTGTCCCCCCCCCCCCCCGCACCTGTCCGGGATGTGTTTCTTTGCTCATGGGTTTGGGATAGGGCCGCTTATTTGCAGAGGAGCTGGTGGTGTGAGCCATGCCCTGCCCACCTCATATCCCTCCGGAATGCTGGGCAGGGGGAATTTGCCTGTGTCCATGTAGGGCCATGATGCCAGAGACATCGGTCCCGGAGGAGAGGCTGCATCCATCTCTCCTCCATCACCCTGGGGGCGTGACAGGACAGGTGGGGTTCTCCTGAGGGACCTGTGTGCTCCATGTCAGCTGGCTGCTTCCTCCTCTTCCTGGGTGACTGAGGGGAGGAATGCTCGGAGGAATTAATGAGACAGATCTTGCTGGCCCGATCCTCCTATCTCCTAGCCCTCCCCAGCCTGCCACAAAGTGTTTGGGAGGGCCTCACACCATTAACTCTTTCCCTGACGCACCTCTGGCCATCCCAGGGCTTGCAAACAGCCTCAGAGGGTTTTACCTTTGCCAGATTCTCAGAGAAGACTACTGAGGCCACTGGGAAGACCTGGCCTTCCTATAAACCCTGTGTTGGCCGAAGACCTAGCTCCTGGATGGTGGCTGAGGAGCAGCCTTGCTGCATCCCCAGACAGGCTGGGGTGTCAGGCTATGAGGCTGTGCAAAATCAGGAACCCACAGGGCTTTCTGCTGGGTGGTGGAGGTCCGCAATGCATCACTGCAAGCCCCTGGAGCTGTGGTGGGAGCTGGTGTGGTGGTAGCTGAGCCCCCATAGAGAACACAACATGATGGGGTTGAGTGTGGGAATGCAGCAGCCATAGACAGGGCAGGGATGGGGGTGCTGGGATGGACAGCAATGAGGTGGGTGTTGGGGTGTGACTGGGGGATAACTGTTAATCTGCAGCAAGGATGGTGGTGGGGATGGAGGCATCTCTTCCCAAACCTTGTCTGAGGCTTCTGGCCAGCACTCCCACTTTGCCCAGGGATCTGCAGCTTGGGTTGCTGCAGGGTACCTCAGTTGGGCATCGTCCAGTGCCTGCTGCTACCCCAAGAGGAGCTGAGCAGTGGCACAGGGACATTTCCCAGGGATGCCACCATGCTGGACTCCAGCCTGCACTGGTGGCTGTGTCTTGGTGGGCACTGGAGCTCCTGCCATGGCTCTAACTTAAAGGACAGGACCTGGGAGACCCATCGCAGGCAGGGAGCTGGCATTTGGGGTCCCCAGGGAACACTGCAGGCAGCCCAAGGCCTGGCTCAGCATGGGTTGAGGCCATTGCTAGGCTGGGATGAGCTCACTGCCTCGTGCTTGAGGTTATTCGTAGGGCTGCCATTTATATCACTTCTATTTCTGCTGCTGTGTGGAGACTCTGTGAGGGGGAGAGGGCTGGAGGCTGCCACAGCCCTGGTGCCCGGATGCGGGGCTCCTGGCCTCTTGGCAAGGGATGCTGCTGGTGGCCTTGGTGCCAACCTGGCTGTGGTTGAGCCTGGCTTAGTACAAGGGCTGGTCCTTCTCCAGCCCTCAGGGCATTAACCCTGCAGATAAAACTCTGCACAGGATCTGCAACATTGGGCTGCCGGGAGGTTTTGGAGCTGCTTTGCTGATTTCTGTAAAAACAAAAGTCAGAGGGGTTGGCCGTAGCTCTGTGATGGGGGATGAACATCTGAAGCTCTAGGACCTGGCTTTCCCAGACCAGGACTGGCTCTTACCTGGCACATGTCACTTGGTCATTCACTGTGGTTCTCCTTCAAGTCACAGCGGTGACATGAGGAAGTAATTTTGTACAATGAGGATGGTGAGGCACTGGGCCAGGTTGCCCAGAGGTGGTGGATGTACCATCCCTGGAGACATTCAAGACCAGGCTGGATGTGATTCTGAGTATCCTGGTCTAGCTGAAGATGTCCCTGCTCACTACAGGGAGCTTGGAGTAGCTGACCTTTGAAGGTCCCTTCCAACCCAAACCATTCTGCAGTTCTGTCTTTTTGACAGAATTGAAACCTCCTGGCCCCTTCTAGGTCTCTACCATGGCCAGGAGCTCTTTGGCTCCTCACCAGGCTGGTGCTCATGTGCAGGCACTCGCCTCCTCAGCCTCTTTTGCCAGCGGTGACTCCTGCCCTCTGTGTGGCCACTGAAGCTTCCTGTGCCCTTCTGTGCCTTATTCCAAGTTGCAGTGACATTCCCAGCCATGCAAGGGTGTCTGTGACATGCTTGTCCAGGAACAGCCTGAAATAGTTTCTTCATCACCTTGGCCTCTGGTGCTGGTGCCAGCAGGGCTTCTCCAGGGTCTGGGTGATGCTGGGCCATGTGCCGGGCACTGGCTCTGTGTGGCTGCCAGCACGGCAGAGGCTTTGCAAAAGCTGGGCAGTGCTGGGGGCGATGCTTTTCCTTGGTGAGAAGCAGCAAAGTGTGGAAAACCAGGTCATGACACCCTGCCCATGGCAGCCGCTGGGTTGGGACTCTTTCCATCAGTGGGGAGAGCCAGGGGGATGCATCCCGACCAGGCAAGGGAGGAGATGTGGTCGTCATGCAAGTTCTTGAAGGCTGGGGTGGAGATGGGTCCCCCCACACCATGCATCACAGCATGCTGGGCTTCTGGCTCCCCTCCATGCCCATGACACACAGGCCAGGTTGGACAGGGCTTGGAGCAACCTGGTCTAGTGGAAGGTGTCCCTGCCCATGGCAGGGGGTTGGAACTAGATGAGCTTTAAGGTCCCTTCCAACCCTAACCATTCTAGGATTCTATGATTCTATGACACTGGCATGGAGGCTGCAGGCAGGCGGATGATAAGATGGTGCCGTTTGCCAGTCCTGGAATGTTTTTTCCTTGGATGCAGCTCACCGGCTCTTCCCCAGCTGCTCTCCCGAGGCTGGTGCTGTGCACCCATGTGGGCACCCACTGAGACACCCACATGGGCACCAGGACGAGAGTGTGCCCTCTTTGGTGGTGACACTGCAAGCCCCACCTCACCAAGCCTGGCAGTGGCTGGCTTTGGAGCCACGTGCCTGGGTGCCCATGGAAGGGGAGCAATTACACCCTACAAGGGGACCCCCAGGTGCATCTCTTCCCCTGTGGTGTGCTGGGCCCATCCTGCACAGACCAGCAAGGAGGGGACCAGCTCTGTGCTGAGGGAGCAGCCCCACAGCTGGCTCACCCCCTAGGCAAGGGGTTAACTGTGTATGGGAGCACCCCATCTCTGTGAGCGTCCCCAAGCCTCATGCCACAGTGCTTTTACTCCTGAATCTGGCCTGACCTCACTCTAAAAGCAGCAGCAAACAAGAAAGGAGCCTGGAGGGAGGTGGCTCTTCCTGTTCCAGTGACATGGTAACTGCAGCCCAAGGACACTGGAGCTGGATGGGGTGCCAAGCCTGGGTACCCTAGGACTGGGACCTGTGCAGAGACCTATAGCACTGGAGGAGGGTGACGTCTGTGCCACAAAGTCCTCTGGTTGATTAGGGCATCCCTGTGCCCTAAACAGGGAGCTGTGGGGCTGGGAAATGCTGCTGGGTTAGCATGGAGGGCAGGTGGGTTTGCCACACTGCCCTGTGCAAGCTGGACTTCATGGAGAGTGGGACATCCTTGGTTCCCATGTGGGAATGTCACCCAGCATCTTTGGAGAGCCCTGTGAGGAAGCCCTGGCTGAAGCTAGCCCCTCCAAGTCTTTGGAGACCCTGATGACACAAACTGGGTACTTCCGATCAAGAAAACCCTTTTCCCAGCAGCTCTTGGGTGTTGCAGGGTGCTCACAGGCATGCCAGGAGGATGCAATTCAATGGAAAACCCACAGCAAAGCCACATCAGTCTTGCATCTCCCCATCCCAGGATCTGGCAGCAGCCCTGCTCTTCCCTCTGCTTTAAAGCAACCTGGAGCAGCCGGTGCTGGTGGGGTACCTTCTCTCCAAAGGGGACAGGCATCCATCCTTCCATCCTTCCATGTCCTCCCGTTCTCCATCCTCCCATCCCTGATTCTCTGATGGAGCTGCTGCACTAGGCAGTGATGTCAGCCCTTGGGCAGGAGAAGTGTGGGAGGAGACAGCCTGGGGGGGGCCCTGCACACAGGCAGCCAGATGTTTGGATGGATGTCATGAGAGAGTCACAGCCCAGGACGCTGACCCTGGCCCGAGGGGGACCTTCTGCCACAGCCCACTATGAATGGCAAACCCAAAGGGACAGAGCTCCATGACAAGTGTGGGTCATTTGGGGACCCTCAGTTGTGACATGGCTGGGTTGGAGGGACTTTTTAGGGTGAGCAACTTCCCCAGGAGGAGAGCTTTCCCTGACAGGGGCACTAGGGATGTGGGTACCCCCTACCTGCAAGGGACATGGTTGTCACCACAGGGTCCAGCAATGGGGTGTCTGTGGCAGGGTAGGACCTGCCATTTCAGACCCAGGCTCTGCATCTCAAGGCAGGAGAGGGGCCATGGCTGCCTGGGCACCAACTCAGTTTTCATCCCCTTGTGCCCCCATGTCTTGTTTGAGACTGTGCTAATGAAGACAAACTCCCAGCTCGATGTTGAGCATCCCCAGCATGCTGGGCTCCAGGAAGCTGGGCAGAACTGGGGGGGTTCTGCTCTGGGGCTGCTTTTGTCCATGGAGACCAAGTTGCTCGGGTAGGATTTGTGGAGGGGAAGCTACTGGTACCCAGCAGAGCACCCTGGAGATGAGCAGGTAGGGGTGAAGATGGCATAACTTCACAAGGTTATAGCAATTCCAGGAGGATCCTTCTAGAGGGTCTCAGCACTTCTGAAAGGGGTCACAGCCCATTCAGGAGCAGAGTCTGGTGCCCCATGCTAGGCTACAGTCCCATATAGCAGGACCTCCGAAGCCATGGGGATCCTGGCTGGGTTCTTGGTCTGTGCCTTTGGTGGTGGGGAACTTGTTTCACTAGGACCATGGTGGTCCTGGGCTGGTTCTCAGGAGCCATCCTAGAAAACAGGTTGGACTTGAGCTCAGCCAGGCACTGGGGAAACCCCCAGCTCCAGCAGTGGCCACCTCCCTGGGTGCCAGCTTGGGGCTTGCCATCCCACTGTGGCTGCAAGCTGGGATCCCATGGGATGGGTGGTGGGGTGGGAGGGGGGGAGCCAGCTATGAGTATCTGCCTGTGCTGTGTCCTTCCCTTCTTCAGGGATACTGCACAGGATAAATAATCACTTCCTCCAATTATTCCCTTTCGCAGCTCCTTCCCTTTCCTGCTGCCCTCCCACTTGGCCCAAGGAGCCATTGGCCTCCCATGGCTGTGAGGGTGTATTCTGCTGCCATAGACCCAGCACCCATCCAGCCCCCAAACTACCATCCCCTGCTCCGGTGGGGACTGCAACGTTATGGCTGCAAGTTTCTCTCTGAGTCACAAGAAGCTGAGATTCCCTTCACTGACTCATCCCATTCCCAAAAAACCCCAACCCCCCTCCTCACCCAGCACTAGGAGGGTCCTGCCTGGAGGAGAGGCAGAGCGTGAGGAGGTCAGGGAAGAGGCAGCTCCCAGGCTCCCTGTGACAATGGCATGCGTCCCCAGATGCTTGCATCCTGTGTGCTGGAATGAGGGATGGTGGGAGGGAAGAGTTGCTCCAGAACCAGGAGCCAGCCAAGCGCCATCCTGGGGCCAGAAGGGGCTGGTGGGGGGCTGGGGAATGATCCTGTGTCAGGGCAGCAGGGACACAGCTGTGCAAACACAGATGCAGCAGCTGGGCTGGAGTAAGCTGTGCCATGGGACAAGTTCACAGGCTCCTGCGGCCAAGGCTCACCCAAGGGTGCCAGGTTGTGCCATTGGTGTAGGGTGGTGGGACCCCATGCTTGCCACAGACACTGTGGGCAGGGTGGACACTGTAGCATGTCCTCATTGGGGGATACTAGTACTACACTGTGCTGGGGGAGGTAGCCACAGTGCCACTAGCATGGGGACCACAGCCCAGCCCTGACAGTCCCTCCTGGGGGAGCCCCTTGGGTTGCTGCTGGATGGTTGTGGATGTTGCTCCCTGAGGTCAGGGGTGCTGGAGGCTGCTGGTTTGGCCACCCCATGCATTGCTGTCCTCCAGTGAGTGATATTACTGGATATGCTAGTCCCAGGGCTGTGGGGCCAGGGATTTGGGGGGAGCCAGTTTGGGGTGTCTCTGACCAGGGCAGTGTTGATAAACCTGCCAGAGCCACCTGAGGCTGGTGTCTGAGTGTCAGAAACAAAAACCAGCTGGGACCCACCCAGCCAGTCAGACTGCCCCCTCTACCGATTCCACCAGCATTCTTGGGATCCCAATCATCTCCAGAGCACCAGGAGTCAAAGAGAGGAGCTGGCAGCCAGGCTTGGAGAGCCCCGGGGTGGGCTTCAGCACCCTGTGCTGTGCCACCCATCCAGCTGCTCACATCTGGCTGCTGCTCTGCCCTCTTGGCCAGTGCCTGTGGGCAGCGCTGGCTGAGGACAGACAGACAGACCGACTAGCAGGATTACAGCGCAGTCATGGCATGGGTGGTTTTGGGGGTTGTTTGGGAGAGAGCCAGGTCCTTGGGCTGGAGCACAGGCATATGGTCCTGTGAGCAGGCTCATGGCACTGCTCCCTGTGTCAGCCCAGGAGCCTCAGGGTCCTTGAAGCATGACCCAGCCTCTGAGGTGCCTGGGTGCATGGCTGGGCATTGCTCTGACTCTGCTGGGGAGGTGTGCTGGGGCATTGGTCCCCTGCAGCCCCTCCAGCGTCCTTGTCCCCCTGTGATATCCCCAGCATCCTTTTCCCCAGTGTGGGCTCCTGCCTGGGTGACCCTCTTTAGAGCACTCTGTCCCCAGACAGTCATGTAGGCTGGGGAAGGATGATCTGGCAGGGCTGTGCTCACCCTGTAGGAGCTTTGACCTGCCCCACTTGTGGAGAGCAGGGTTTTTGGGGTAGTGGGTGCTTTCTTTTCCATATAGATGGTTGGCTGTAATGCCCAGCTGGGGCAGCGAGCACCAGTGCCATGGGCCTTGCTTGCTCAGTGGGGAGGAGATTAAAGAGCCCTGCAGAGGGTAATCTGCCCAGGGCCTGCAGGTCAGCCAGGCTGCCATGGATTACAACTCCTCCTAATGAATTTAACTGGGACAGTGTTGTCCTGGAAACTGGAGGGACTAACACCAGGATAACACCAAGGTGGCAGGACCCACTGAGCAGCCCCATGGTCCTGGGCTGGGACCTGAGTGCCAAGGGGGAACCAGGTGGATCTGCTGTATCCCAGCTCTGCTGGGATGGAGGTTCTTGGTGGTGTCTGGCTTTGACTCTGGACACCCCTGGCTCATCCCAGGTACTATGAATGCTTGTTCCAGGTTGGCATGCAGGGAGGTGACAGCATGACTGCAGGACGCTGAGGAGCACAGCACCAGAGCAGTGCCTACCAGCAGCCAAGCAGGTCTGTGCTGGTTTGAGTTGGGCTTATTCCCATTGTGCCAGGGGAAGGAGTGGGGATGTCATTGGGATCCAGGACAGTGCCTGTGTCCCTGTGCCATCCCTGATGCTGCTGGGGCCAGGGCCTTGCTGCTGGCCATGCTGGGGTTGGCTGCTGGGAAGCTGTGTGTCTCTATGGCCCTGCCTGGCCTTCCCATGCAGGGTGTGTGACTGCTGGACACTATGTGGGATTGTCCCTGGCAGCTCCTGGCACCCCAGCCCGCAAGTTGGCCCTAGGGGTTTGGCAGGGAAAGAGGGACTGAGTTGGTGTCAGTGGTGGATGGGATGAAGTGGAGCATCCATCAGCCTCTGCCCTGCAGGCTGGGCTCCTCCATGTGCCTGGCTGGTACTACTGGGGTGGCAGGGCCAAGAGGAGCCCCAACTCCCCTGCTCTTGCCTTGAGTTTTGGCCTGCAGAGATGTTCCCTGTGATCATAGAATCCCAGAGTGGTTTGGGTTGGAAGAGACCTTAAAGCTCATCCAGTTCCAACCCCCTGCCACAAGCAGGGCCACCTTCCACTAGACCAGGTTGCTCCAGGCCCCATCCAACCTGGCCTTGAACACTGCCAGGGATGGGGCAGCCACAGCTTCTCTGGGCAACCTGTGCCGGTGCCTCACCACCCTCACAGGGAAGAACTTCTGCCTAAGAGCTCATCTCAATCTCCCTTCTGACAGTTTAAAGCCATTCCCCCTTGTCCTGTCCCTACAGGCCTTTGTCTAAAGCCCCTCTCCAGCTTTCTTGTAGCCCCTTTAGGCACTGGAAGCTGCTCTAAGGTCTCCCCAGAGCCTTCTCTTCTCCAAGCTGAACCAACCCAGCTCTCTCAGCCTGCCTCCAGAGCAGAACTGCTCCAGCCCTCTCAGCATCTTTGTGGCCTCCTCTGGATTCACTCCAACAGTTCCACATTGTGTTGTTGCCCCCAGAGCTGGATACGTGACTGGAGTGGGAGAGTGTGGCAGCCAGGTCCGGGCCCCAAGACTCAGAAATCTGCTTAGTTCTGGCTGTGGCAGGAACACACAGCTACCAGCAGTAACTGCAGGGCTCCTGGCTGGGTCTCTGGCAGCACCAGGAGCAGAGGGCAGGGCTGGAGCATCCATGGGGCTGGACATGTGCTGCCTGCGTGGCCTTTACAGGGTCTGGCAGGGAATGGCTTGGCCTTTCCTTCCTGACACGGAGCTCCTGGCAAGGCCAGGGACTTTCCAAAGTGCTTTGTTGTCCATTGGCTTCCCTCCTGGTTGCTGAAGTGAGCGGAAACAAGCACAGAGACAGCAAAGGGGTGGGCAGCAGCATCTGGCCCCCTGCCCTTTCTGCCCCTGCCACAAGTGGCACGGGTGACAGCGGGACATGGGACAAGGTGTTCAGGAGGAGGTGGTTTGGCTGGGGCGCAGCAGAGGGTTTGCCATGTTTATGTCTAGGAAGGGCCATGGTAAGCACTGGGCATTAGCCCTTACCTGTGGCTCCCAGGGGGCCAAGCTGGGACACAGAATCATAGAATGGTTTGGGTTAGAAAGGACCTTAAGTTCACCTAGTTCCAACCCCCCTGCCACAGGCAGAGACACTTCACACTAGACCATTATCTCCCAAAGCCCTGTCTATCACTGCTGAGTGCTCATGGTGTCCAGAGCCCTGCTTCACTCAGGACAGGGCACCCATAGCATCACTTGGGGACAGCAAGGTCCTGCTGGTGCCACCAGGAGTGTCCTTGGGCTGATCAGGAGGGAAGGCTCCCAGCCCATGGGTGTTGTAGCCACCCTGGTCCATGGGTGCTGTTCTTGGTCCCTGCCTGTGTGCGTTTCCCCACCCTGCTGCTGGTGACACCTCTCTCTTGTGCCCCCAGGGAGGCCCTCCAGTTCATGCTCAACAATGTTGCTGTCTGTGTGCCTGCAGCGCTGAGTCCTCGTCACCAAGATCAGTAGGAGCCAGTCCTTCGCCGGAGTGAACTTAACAGCCAACCAGCCCTTCAGGTAGGAGATGGGTGTTCATGCTGTCTGCCACAAGGGACAGGGATTGGGAAAGGCTTGGGCAGGGGCAGGTGGTGGGACCTGCTGTGCATCCTGAGGCACCTTCTCAACCCACTGTAACAGCATCTCCCTCCAGGACCTTTGTGGTACTCAGGGGATGTTGCACAGTGGGGTCTGGAGGGAGCATTGAGGCCAAATGGGAGACAGAGCCCATCACCCCAACCCTCCGCTATACTGTGTCCCAGGCTGGGTGAGAACCCTGAAGTCCATGCCACAAGAGCATGGAGGGGCAGGTGTAGCTCACCACCATCTCTTAAGAGCTTCCCTGTGACCATCTCATCATGTTTAATGATGTGGTGAAGGAGCTGGGGTGGCTTTGAAGCATTGTGTCCTGATGGCCTTGACATCCTGCAGAAGCTGGATTGGGGTTTGAGTGCTGGTGGGAATCAGGTGTTCCTCCAGGTCACTTCAAACCTGTTGCTGAAAGGTTTTATTGGCTGCCTGCCAGCTGTGTTGTGAGGAGCAGCCAGTCCCTGCTTATCCTTTCTGGACACTGGTGATGTTACGATCCCATCATCCCCTTCCTCTTCCTCTCTGCTGAACCTCATGTCAGTGAGAACCACCCCACATGCTGCTCATCCCCACCACCCTCCTCTGCACCATCCCTAGCTCCTGGCTATCCTCTCACAAGTGGTTCTCAGGACATGGGTGTTCTATGGCTTTGGGTTGTGGGACTACAGCATTTTAATGTTTTTAATCCCTTCTAGCACCCCACCAGCCTCTTCATCTCCCAGTGCACCCAGTGGCTGGTGTCCTGGGTTCAGCAGTAGCAGTCATTCTTCTCCTTCTTAGTATCTGGTGCAGTGCTGTGTTTTTGACTTTCAGCCTGGGAACAGCGCTGATAACACCGATGTTTTTAGTTGCTGCTCAGTAATGTTTACTCTGACCAAGGACTTTCTGAGTCTCATGCTCTGCCAGGGAGGAGGGGAAGCCGGGAGGAAGCAGAGACAGGACACCTGACCCAAACTAGCCAAAGAGATATTCCATACCATAGTATGTCATGCCCAGTATATAAACTGGGGGCAGTTACCAGGAAGGGCTAGATCACTGCTTGGGTCAGGCTGATTATTGGTCAGTGGGTGGTGAGCGGTTGTATTCTCTTCCCTTGTTATTTCCCTTGTAATTATTATTACTGGTGGCAGCAGTAGTGATTTTGTGTTATACCTTAGTTACTGGACTGTTCTTATCTCAACCCGTGGGAGTTACATTCTTTTGATTCTCCTCCCCATCCCTCTGGGAGCAGGGGGAGGAAGGGGGGAGTGAGTGAGAGGCTGCATGGTTCTGGGTTGGCAGCTGGGCTTAAACCACGACACTGGGGAAAGCAGTGTCACACTACTTTGCCAGGCTATGGGCACCTTCACTGGATAGGCATAAGCCCAAGTAGAGCCTCCCCATGCATGGGAGCAGACCTCCAGCCCTGCTTAGCTCTTGTCCCCAAGTCCTGTCCAGCCTCAGGGCCAAGTGACACTTTTCAGACCACCAGCACATCACTGGATCTGGAGCTGCCAGAGGGGCCTGCTTGGGGACAGGGAAGAGGGAGGACTTTTGAATGCCCACAGCCAAGTGGCTAGTGGTCAAATGCTTGTGGGCAATGCCTCCAGGGGCCCTGAAAGGTGGTAATGAAGATGGACAGTGGAGATTAAGGGCTTACCCATCACTCTAACTTAGGAAGAAGCCAAGACATTCCTTTTCCCCCACCAATGATTTGGTGAAGTCTTTTGGCTGCTCCTGCAAAGAGTAGCACAGGATGGGAGGTCTGGCCCACATCTGGGAGCCAATGATCCCATGGTGTCTCCTGGGCGCCAATATACTGGGAGGAGGAAAGGAAGAGCTGGTCGGAGCGGGGTGTTGCTCGCTGGGCTGGGAGCGACTCCATTGCACAAGGCAGGAAGGGTGGTGTTCGGGGCCCAGTGCTGGGTCAGCATCCTTCAGTGGGTAGCTCCGTACCACGGGTTTGGTGACATCTGCAGAGGTGTCGCATCAGTGAAGATGTCCCTGCTCCATGTCCTGACGGGGTGACAGGGCTGCATGTCCACAGGATGCTCCCATGCTGCCACCTACTGGGATCCCTGCCTGCCCCTGGGAGCACATGGTGGCAGGCCAGCAAGCTGATGGTGGCATGTGTCACCGTGCCCTAGTGCCCACACTACAGGGAGAATCTCCATGGCCCTGACAGCCTGAGGTGCTGGGGGTGGAGCAGAGCATGGCCCCTTTGGAGGGTGGCCAGGGCTGGAGATGTCCCCACGGGCACTCCAGGAACACAACTTGGCTCCAGCTGGTGCCAGCTCCTTTTGCCTTTCTCCCCCCAGACCTCTGCAGAGGCTACCCCAAGCCACTCTTGGAACCTGCTGGGACAGGGTGACCTTCCCACTCTTCACCACTACCAGCTTTGGGGGTTTCTCCTTGTCCTTCCATGGCTTTGGGGCAGCCAAATGCACTGGAGGGGTTGCAGGCATGTGGTGCAGGCAGCACTGCCCAGCCTCACAGCCCCATCTCGCCCAGTCCCACTGGTTAGACTGGAAGTCCTGGGAGAGGCAGGCAGGTCTGAGCAAACCTGGCCTACATATCAGAGCTCCTTCTTGTCTCGAGACAGGGTACCCAGTAGGCTGGGGCACCCAGGAGGATCCCAGTGCTGTGTGCTGACCCCAGCCACCCCAGTTTGCCTGACTCTCTCCCCAGGAACTTCTCACCCTTTACCCCCGCCATCTCCCGCAAGACTCGTTCTAGAGTCAGTAGAATGTTCTCAATGTCCCACAAATCCCCACCACCCAAGGTGCCTCAGCCCAGCCGCCTGGATGAGGTTTATGAAGCTCTCAAGAAGGGCCTGACGTAAGTGCTGGGGCTCCCCATGGCTGGGTGGTTAGAGGCAGGGAGCCCCTGAGGGGCAAGGGGACAGCTTGCCATGTGGGTTGGGGTTGGCAGCTCTCTACTTTCACCAGGCAGGGACATGCCAGGTCTTCTGGGTGCAGTGCCTTGGGATCCCAGAGTTGTGTGGGGTCCCACATCCCACCATGTCCCATGTAGAGGCACACATGGGCTCCCTCGCCTGGGTGCTGGAGTGGGGAGTAAGGATGCAGGGCCACATGTACTGGGTTGGTGTGGGCAGTAGGTGGCAGGAGCCCTGGACACAGCATCCCAGCCTGACCCTCATGGTGTGGTTGCTCTCAGAGCCTACCTGGAGGTGCACCAGCTGGAATTGGAGAAGCTCAGCACCCAGATCTGAGAGTCCAAGAGGAATTCTCGCCTGGTGAGTGTTGCTTGGGAAGACCCTTATGAGGGACAGTGATTTGGGCAGATGGTCATGGGCACATATGGGGCAGCTCATGGTCCATCTGTGTCCCTGTTTCTGTGGAGATATCAGGGGCCAGCCCAGGCTTTGGTGTTGGGCTGCACCGGGTTCCTGTCCTACTGTCATGTACTCTCCAGCCCTGGCTGGGTGCTGGACATGCTATGGGTGGTGGGTGCAATGTGCTGGGTCTCCTTGGGTGGGAAAAGCTGGCTTTGTGCTGTGTCTTATCCCTCTCCTCTCTCCTCCAGGGCTTTCTCTATGATCTGGATAAGGTAAGGGAGATCAGTGCCTCACCCCCCTTGTCTTCCCCTTCCTAACAGCCAGGATGTACTACTGCCAGCCCCTCTCTGCTTGTGCTGCCCTGCTGCCTGCAGGGTGGGGTGGGGCTCTTTGGGCATGGTGGGTCTGGGAAGGGATGGAGCAAAGGAAGGCAAGGGCTTGTAACTTGCTTCTTGCAAACAAAAGCTGTTGCTGGTGAGTGCTGAGCTTGGGTTAGCTCTGGAACTGGGAGAAGAGCACCCTGGAGCTTTGCTTGTCTTCTGGGGGACACTCTGGAGCAGGGGAGGCTGGAGGATGCTGCAGCACATGGGTACAAGCACAGCCTCTGCTCACTGCCACTGCCACCCTGCACCTCCCAGGCAGGGCAGGAGGCCAGGACCTGTCCCAGCCACAGCACAAGGAGACATCAGGGCACACCCTGACCTGCAGCTCCTTTGTGGAGGGGTTGCGCTGCCGATCACACCGTCTCCTCTGCTTTTCCATCAAGTGAAGTCAATCAAGGGCTTCCTGCATCGCCTGGAGTTTCGTACTAGCAAGGTGAGAGCTGGGGACCAGGATCACCTCAGTGCAGCACTGGGATGGCCATGCTGTCCCCCCTGCCCTGCCCATCACCACATCTCGGGCCTGTCCTTGCAGATAGATGAGCTCTACGAGGCTTACTGTATCCAGTGGTGGCTTCGCGATGGAGCCTGAGCCCACAACATGGTCAAGGCTTACAGCACGGGCTCACCAGGCAGCCGGGAGGCACATGAGAGCCTGGATGAGGCCCGCAAGGGCTGCAGGGAGTACATGGAGGTGAGGCAGCTGGCGGGGCTGGGCTGGCAGGGTGCTGGGTCCCATGAGTGGTTGCTGATGGGTGCTGTCCATCCATCTGTCCCCAGAACATGTGTCTGTTGGAGAATGAGCTGGAGAGCCAGCTGGGAGAGTTCCATGTCTGGATGAAAGGTAACATGTCCTGCTCCATTCCTGGCATGCTGCCTGCCTGCTGCCTGCTCATGCCCCTCTACCTTTTCTTGCAGGACTGGCAGGCTTTGCCTGGCTTTGTGCTGGTGACCAGTATGAGGTTGGTGGGACTGTATGGGTTGGGATCTGCTCTTCTCTTTCCCTGTGGTCCTTGGGATGCCTGGGAGGTGTAGGCAGGTGCTGGTGTGGAGGGCATGTTGCAAGGCAGTGGTGGGTGTCATGGTATTGGGTCCCCAGCCATGCCTGGGCACACACGGAGAGCACCCATCACCCCAGTGTTGTACCCCCCCCCCCATACCCACGCCTCTGCACCCCCAGATTTTCATGAAGTATGGACGGCAGCAGTAGAATCTGTGTGGCTGCATTGAGGTGAACAGTAAGCAGGTGTGGGACAGCGAGGAAATGGTTTTCTTGCCCCTCATCACCAAGTTCCTCTTCATCAAGGTACAGTGCAGAAGGGGGCAAGGATGGTGTGGGCCAGCTATCACCCTGCAGGGCTTCCTTCCAGGACCTCACTTCAACCTCAGTCCCCCTGGGGTGGTGGTGGATCCTGGCACAATGCATGGATGCAAATAGCATGGTTAAGATGAGGACCATGGCTTCATCTCCTCTCCTCCCTCTCCTTCTCCAGGTGACAGAGCTAAAGAGCCTGGCCAACCATGTTGTGGTGGGCAATGTGTCCTGCGAGACCAAGGACCTCTTTGCAGTTCTGCCTCAGGTAGTGGCTGTGGATATCGGTGGCTTGGGCACCCTCAAACTTAGCCTGGAGGTGACCTGGAAGTGAGTATCTCAGCAAGCATTGCTGGTGGCACATGGTAGGGCTGGGGATGCCTGGCATGGCATGGCAAGGCAAGAGGCAGCCTTCCCTAGGCTCTCTCCCATCCCAAAACTGGGTTGCAATTATGGAAAATCAGAGCTGGACTGGATGGGGTCCTAGTGTCCTGCTTGCTGTAGAACAGGGTTAAGACCTCCCCGGCTGGCACACAACCCTCACCTCCCTGCTCTCCTCTCCAGCCCCTTCGACAAGGATGACCAGACTTCAGCAGCCAACACTGTCAACAAGGCCTCTATGGTGAACAAGAGGTCCTCTACCTACAACCAGAGCCCACCCGACATGCTGTTCCTGCAGGAACAGGCTTTCTATCTAACTGTGGTGCTCAGAGAGGTGGCTCATTGAAGGGGATGTGATCAAGCTATGTCCCAGTGGGTGACACAGGGGTGGGCAGCTCCTCTCCATCCATCCAGTCATGGCTTTCTGGCACTGGTGCCTGTTCCTCCTGCGTTCACAGCTCCTCTCAGCCTGAGAGCCCAGGGTGGGCAGCCGACAAGCACAGTTGGTCCTTGCTGGACATCTTTCAGGAGACGCTCTTTGAGAAGCTGTCTCAAAGCTGCTCCTGAGGCGATGTCTCCTTAGCCAAGCTCGGGAGATGGCTGCAGCAGGGTTGTTGTAAGTGTGAGGGCTGGAGCTGGCCCATAGTGTAGTCAGAGCTGTGCGCATCCCACAGTAGCTGTAGTTGCTCCTTGTTTCCTACTCACCAGCCTTTGCTGATCCCCAGAGGCCTGATCCTGCTGGGATGGGGTCCGGCTGTCCCTAGGGAGACAGTCCTCAACTTAGGGGAGCCTGTGATGCATGGGCTGGCCCTGCTTCTCTGTATGGCATTAGTGAGTAGAAGGCTTGTCCATATCCCTGCACTGGAGGTTTGGTGTGCTGTGGTGCCAGTGTGATGGTGCTGGCATGGCACCAGTGTGATGCTGTCAAGATGCTGGTGCAATGCTAACATGGTGTTGGCATGGCACTGTGATGGTGGACTTGATGATCTTAAAGGTCTTTTCCAACCTAGTTGATTCTATAATTCTATGACTACTGGGGTGACATTGGTGTGATGGTGATGCTGCCCCCCATGAGCTGGTGCTGGAGCAGTTGCTGTCCTTGCAGCCATGCTGGGTGGTGCCCCTCACTTGGCTCCAAGTGTTTCATCCCATCAAGGCTGTGCTGGAGCTGCCCATTCTTCTGGGAAGCCCTTGGCACCCCAGGGCTCCATGGGGTGTATAGCTGTGTCTGTGGAGCTGGAATCACCCCTGATGTGGGGCAAGATGCAGGGCTGGAAGAGGCAGCCATGGTCTGCCAGGTACTTGCTGCCCATCCTGCCATGCAGCAGAGCCAGGGCACTGGTGCCCTGGTGCCCTGGTTGAAGGGAAGGCAGCCGGAGGAGTAGGAAGATCTTGTCTAACACCATATTCTCTTCCCCAGAACTTGCTGAGGTGCCAGGAGGAGATGGAGAATGGTATGTCCTGGTCTGTCTCCTCTGAGTCCTCAGATGACTCGTCCAGCCAGCAGCTGCCCAGCAGCATCCACCATGCTGTCCATAAGCCCATCGTGCAGCCAGAGCTGCAGGCCTTGGCACTTGCCATCAAAATCTCCTTCTTCCAGCAGCTGCAGGAGGCCAAGCCCAGCACTGGGGCCTGTGGAGACAGTGTTCTCACAGGAGAACGCATAATTGGTGCAAAAACTGAATAATCCTGAAAGATACAGCAAGGCCGTGAGAGGCCCGAGGAAGCTTAAGCAAGCAGGATAAGAAGAAGCTGTAATTCACTGAGTTAATGAGAACTGTGGGCTGTTGGCAAGCTTTCGAGGTCAAGTTCTCACACCTCTGCTTAAACAATTGTGTGTTAGTCGCTAAGGGTCTTCAAGACATGCATCCAATCATAATATACCAAATCACTGTAAGTGCCTGTAAGAAATGCTATATAAGGAGTTAAATCTTTGTAATAAATTGGCATTCGCTGATCACATTGATCGTTCCTGCATTGTCCATGACTCCCGCGTCGACAAATGGTGCCCGAACAGGGACCCTCAGATCGGTAACTTGTGGCATCAAGTTTGAAGGTCCGATCAAAAGAAGAGGGGGCGGAGAGCCGGTCGAAAGTCAGCGCTGCCCCGGTGCTGTGGAAGTCAGACGTCTGCAAACAGTGGAGTACCTGTGGGATCTCGCCCTGATCAGGTGAGCGGCCAGGGAGGAGATGGGGCACTCGCCTTCTGTCCTGGGTTTAGCAGTGGCAGTCATTTTTCTCTTTCTTGGTAGCTGGTGCAGTGCTGTGTTTTGACTTTCAGCTGGGAACAGAGCTGAAAAACAATGATGTTTTGGTTTGGCCAAGGACTTTGTGGGCCTCATGCTCTGCCAGGGAGGAGGGGAGCCGGGAGGAAGCAGAGACAGGACACCTGACCCAAACTGACCAAAGAGGTATTCCATACCACAGCACGTCATGCCCAGGATGTAACTGGGAGTTACCCGGAAGGGCTAGAGTGGACTGCAGGGTTGGAGGAGGTATGGGTCGGTGCTTGGTCGGGCTGGGGGGGCAAGTTATCGGTCACCTGGTGATGGGGTGTTGTATTCTCTTCCCTTGTTATTTCCTTTATCATTACTATTATTGGTGGTAGCAGCAGTGATTTGTGTTATACCTTAGTTACTAAACTGTTCTTATCTCAACCCGTGGGAGTTGCATTCTTTCTGATTCTCCTCTCCGTCCCTCCGAGAATAGCGGAGGGCAAGAAGGGGGGGGGGGAGGGGGGGGGGTGAGTGGACAAGCTGTCTGGCATTGGTTAAACCACGACAATTCTTTTTGGCACCCAGCGTGGGGCACGAGGGGTTGAGATAACGACAGATCTGACCGGATTGATAGTCACTCGTCACAATGCTGATTTATTGGCTCTCAGAGTTGTTCCTCTTGATCTCACAGCTTCAGAATGTTGTAACTTACTTAGAGCCGGTATTTGCTGTGTTAGTGTTTCTCAAGTGTGGGGCTCGGGCTAAGGTCTTTGTCTCACTGTACTTTATGGCAATAACTTGTAATACGGGCGGGCTCCAGCAGCAGCAGCGTGGGGTGGACGTGGCCGTGGACTGGTCCCTGGCCGTCCGGCTGCTCCTCACCATCCTGGCCCTGGCCCTCGCCCTCACCTCCGTCTGCGTGAGGCTCTGGGGAACCGAGGGGGTGCAGCCCCAGGAGCCGGTGGCTGCTGAAGCGGCCCGGGAGAGTGGCCCCAGGCACCAAACGGGAGCGGGACCGGAGGCCGGCAGGGAGCGGCTGCCTGTGGAGGAGGTCAGGGCAGTCGAGGAGTGGAAGGAGGCGGCTGCCGAGCAGCGGGAGAAGGCGGCAGAGGAGCCGAGCCCCACGGCCAGGCCCAGCCCCGCGACGGCCGAAAGCATTCCCTGGAAGCCGCCCGCCGAGCCCCAGGATGACGCAGGAGACCCCGCAGCATTTCCCAGTAGGGCAGAGGAGGAAGAGCTGGACTCAGGAAAAGAGAAGCTGGTGATGGGAGAGCCGGCAAGCACAGCAGCTACACCAGCCCCAGGGACAAGTACAGCAGCATCGCTTGAGAGTTCTGAAAGTTTTGGATGGCCTTTGGGTATCCTTGGGACCTGCCTGCTGATTGTGATGGGGATCAGCATGTTGGCACACACACAGAGTGTGTTTTACCCAGCACCATTTTGTCTGATATAAAAAGTTAATCAGAGTCGGGTTTGGGTCTTGTCTGGGGTTAGACAACGATATGGGAGGACCAAGAAGTTTTCTCCAAGACTGGAGAGTCATGAGTGGCAGGGCATATGGGACAGTATGGGCAAATATCTAGTCCACTGGACCCCTCCAGTGCTTTGGAAACATTGGAGATGGAAGGACAGTGAATTATTTTGAGCCTGGTGGGCCCATGACCCTTAAGACCATCAGAGCAGAGATGCAACATCGAGATGGACTCATGATCGAGGGGTGGACTTAGCAATGGACCCTATTGCCCATGTTATTCATGTATGTGAGCACTGCACATAGCCTCTCGTGCTCTGAAAGACTGTTACAAGAGATGGAGCCTAACATCATGGACCAGATGGACACAACAGCTTTATAGGGACTGGCCCATGCACTACGATGAGAGTGCACTTAGATAAGAGTGATGGTATATTGAGAATGTGGGATCTGAGCATGATGTGAATGGTATGGAATAAGGGGTGGATAATGTCCTGGGTTTAGCAGTGGCAGTCATTTTTCTCTTTCTTGGTAGCTGGTGCAGTGCTGTGTTTTGACTTTCAGCTGGGAACAGAGCTGAAAAACAATGATGTTTTGGTTTGGCCAAGGACTTTGTGGGCCTCATGCTCTGCCAGGGAGGAGGGGAAGCTGGGAGGAAGCAGAGACAGGACACCTGACCCAAACTGACCAAAGAGGTATTCCATACCACAGCACGTCATGCCCAGGATGTAACTGGGAGTGACCCGGAAGGGGGATATAGTGGACTGCAGGGTTGGAGGAGGTATGGGTCGGTGCTTGGTCGGGCTGGGGGGGCAAGTTATCGGTCGCCTGGTGATGGGGTGTTGTATTCTCTTCCCTTGTTATTTCCTTTATCATTACTATTATTGGTGGTAGCAGTAGTGATTTGTGTTATACCTTAGTTACTAAACTGTTCTTATCTCAACCCGTGGGAGTTGCATTCTTTTTGATTCTCCTCTCCGTCCCTCCGGAGTAGGGGGAGGGCAAGAAAGGGGGGGGGGTGAGTGGACAAGCTGTCTGGCATTGGTTAAACCACGACACCTTCCAAAGAGGAACAGGCAGTGATGGAGCTCCTCCACATAATTCTCTCTGAGAGGACTGCAACATGATAGCGCCGCCTCACAGAGGCTGTTAAAGTGGGCCCGGGATCGTGGCTTTATCCCCACAGAGCAAGCCACCTTTGAAGTTTCTGAATGGGAACGTATAGGTCAGGCATTGTGGGATGAGATTAGTAAAGGGACAAAGGAAGCCCTGAAGTATTCATTACGGAGCTTGATAATTGAGACTTGAAAGGAAATGAAATCGGAACAGGCAGCAGTGGAATCTGTTTTCCTGGCTGCTGCTCCTTCACAAAGTCAGTCAGAGGTAGAGAAGAGTGCTACGTCTATGGTATTTGCCCTCCCTGTTGTGCCTGGCACGGAACCACAGAAGCCTCCTCTGTATAAGGGGCAAGATAAAGTGAAACGATGCTCGCGTCCGAAAGTACAAGTGCAAACGCGGTCACCTTCGACCTAGAGGAAGAAGACCCCGAATCAGAACTGGAACCAGACCCAGAGTCTCTGGCAGAACCGGACTTGTACCCATCCCTTCCTGATCCTGACTAAGACTCAGACGGTTCAGACAGTTCGGCTCGTCGGCAGATGCGAACCAGCCTCAGTGATGGTCAACTGCGACAGCTGCTGAAGAAATTAAAGTATTGGAGGCAAAAGAAACCTCCAAACCCTCTGCCCCACCCTCCTACAATCCAGTAGTAAAGAAAGGGGAGTGTGAGGGGGGTGTTGGGCACGGGGTAGGGGATTATGGTAATAACCCTGCTAAAGGTTGGCATGGGATGATCAAAGATGAAATTGTTATGGGGGAATTTTCGACTATGGGTCCCTCGACATTCCCGGTGTTTAACACTCCACAGGGGGGAAAGGAGTGGGAGGCATTGGATTTAAAGGCAGTAAAGGAGGTGCGTCAACCGGTAACATCCTACGGGTTAAAATCATCGTATACTCAGGCAATTATCGCACATATTTTTTCTGCATATATCTTAGCACCATATGATATCTGTATGATAGCTCAATTGTTGCTTACTCCCCACCTTCAGATATGATTTAAAGTGAGCACAGCAGAGGAAAAGGCTGGATGCATGGCTACTGCCTTTTCTGCTGCTGTTAAACCCCTTTTACAATCAGGTTAGGACAATCGTGAGGGTACTAAAGGTATGAGATGTTATAATTGTGGATGGATGGGACATTTTAAAAAGAAACAGTGTACTGTAAAGAAAATTAGTTCAGCAGCCGCCGCCCCCCCCAGTAGTGTTACTAGTTTTGCAGATAAATGTATTAGATATGACAAATTTGGACACAAGACAATTGAATGTCGTTGCTTTGCAACCTAGCTTGCCTAGCCCTTCAATGATACCTCAGGGTTGGGATTTAATAGTAATTGATTTAAAAGACTGTTTTTTCACAATTCCTCTACACCCAAGCGATTGTGAAAAATTTGCTTTCTCTGTCCCAGCAATTAACAAAGGAGAAGCTGCTAAGAGATATGAATGGGTTGTTTTGCTTCAAGGTATGAAAAATTCTCCTGTTCTTTGTCAACTGCATGTTGCCTGACTATTGCAACCAATCCAATAAAAACTGCAAAAATGTGTTATCTATCACTATATGTATGATATCCTAATTTCAGGCAAAGATTTAAACAAGGACCATCTGCTCTACCTGCTACAATCAGAATTAGGGAAAGCAGGACTGGTAATTGCACCAGACAGAGAGTAGCGTGAAGCCCTTGGAAATATCTCGGGTGGATCACTTCCGGAACTGAAATTAGGCCTCAAAAAGTTAAAATTGCCACACAGATAAAAAACTTGTCTGATGTGCAGAAACTGATGGGTGATATTCAATAGATCTGCCCTTTGTGTGTAATCACAAATGATGATCTGACTGATCTCATGCCCCTTCTAAAGGGTGAGCAAAAAAAAAAAAAGCAAAACAAAAAAAAACCACCAAAGTTCTATTAAAAGCTCAGAATGAGCAATGAGTTTGAAACAGTTTTTGGAAAAACAAAAAATGAGGGAAGAAGGACTTACACCAAAAGCAATGATACAGAAAGCTGTATATGTTATGAATTTTTTGCGATTGGCAAGAGATTTTAATGACCCCCCCTTGCTATAATACATGGTCAGGCATTAGGTTCAGGTTATATGACTGAAACTCTGGGTATTCTGGTCCACTACCAGGATTTGGAAACTGGCATTTGGAAAGGTTCTGCGGAAGTAAAACTAACTGGTCAAGGTAATATGTCTGTAATTACAGATTCTGGTCTACAGTGGGTGCCAGCTCGATGGGTGAAACACTGGAAAAAAGTCAACACTGCCCCAGGACACCACCCTTGTCAATGACAGAATGAACTGAAATTTGATCTTAGGACATCCATTTTATGGATGTTTTCAGTCCTTCTTAAAGTGAAGGGAGCAACCTTTTTTACGTTAAAGTAAAAAAAAAAAAACAAAAACAAAACAGAAAACAGAAAACAAAGCCCAACACCAAAAACACCCCCACCCCCCCACCCCCCTCCCAACCTTCACCGGTTGCCACTGTGGCTGCGAAAACTGAGGACAGAGATGAAGATGATCCTTTTGAGTCAGGCCCTATTGACCCCGAGAAGGAGCCTGTGCACTGCTCCTAAGGTTCTGATGCCTGATAATTCTGATGCTGACCTGGATGGTCCTTTTCACCTGGAGCCTATTCATCTGGAAAAGGAGCCTGATTTATATCCCCCAGATCCTCATGTTAAATGCACAGCTGTAAAGGGAGAAGTGAGACCAGTGGGGGATGCAGGTGTATTGTGTGCTTTCCTGGTGGTGTATGTTCTGCATCAAGACCCGCAGTGGGAAGGTCTCTCGTATGCTCTTATCAGGAGTATCAGGCAGACTGTGATGGTCTGTGGACTTATATACAACTCATTTAATACATTCTCTCTGTGATACTCATGTACTAGAAGCTGGTAAAAATAAGTATGTCCAGGTTTCTATCGACCTTTGGAGACCTTTATAAATACTGCTGGCCGCTTCTTCCAACATAGTCTGGCCACCTGTGTCGGAATGAGTGTGCGTTTTGGTCAGTATAAAAGCCCAAGCCTCATGCGATGTGAGGGAGGCAGAGCCTCTGCGGGGATGCCCGCTAAGGTTGAGCCTTCCACCTCTCACTGCAATGATGCTTCTCAGAGCTGGTTTTCTTGTTAGTCTCCACAGGGTCCTTGTGCCACGTTCTGTACGTGGGATTGTGTAGTGGAAGTAATGATTGTTGGGATTTTGTGCTTCAAATGTTGTAGTTGTGTGGACTGTGCTTGTGGGATCCCATATATATGTGTGTGTGTGTGTGTGTTGAGGGCAGACGGTGTTCTGTGTATTTTTTGTTGTTGGGTTCATGTAAAAGTTTCTAATAGATAGTAGTTTAACATTTCAGACAAGAAAGGGTTAATGCAAAAGTGCGGTTGCCGGCAGGTATTTATGGTTGCAGGCAGCTGTAGCTGCTGCTGAGCAGGCTGGTGTTTGTAGCTGCTGTGCAAAGCAGGGTGAGCAACCTCGGGAAAAAAAAAAAAAAAAAAGGGGCAATGATGCGGCGAACTCCTCATTTAACCTGTCTACTTCTCAAGAACTGATAACCTGGAGGAGGGGGTGTATTTGTGTCCTCCTGCCTACAGGTCCATGGCAACTGCCTACAGAGTTTGTCAAGTCTTGCCATGAGCTGGACAGACGAATGGAGGAACCTGATGCCTCAGCTGCAGGAGCTGAACGTGACTACCCCAAGCAGAATGAGATAGAGGAAGAGAAAAACCAGTGATTGCTAAACATCATTTGGGGGCAACTGAAAAGTAACAGCTTGAATATGTTTGTTTGTAAAGTAGCTATTGTTAGAGGCTATGATTTTGTGTATGAAACCACCTGTGTTTACTACACCTTGTGTTATATGGATTTGTCACTTGTAAAAGAGATGTTAGAGTATGCAAATTTGTAGTAGCTGCTAGAAAATGCTAAGGCAAAAAATAGAAATATTCTAATACAGTGGTAGTGTTATAAAGCAGGTAATGGAACAAATTAAGCGGGTGGGAGAATTCCACTGGTAAGAAATTTCTTTGGCTAGTCCCTTGCTGGCATCATCATTTTCAATATGCTGCTGCACCCTGTAATAGTTACTCTGCTAATGTAAATCTGTGTGTGTGCCTTGCCATAATAACAACTTGTTATTAGGTGAAGCAGGTGAAACTGCTTTGACAACAAGGTGCAAGGACTGAGGCTGACCAAATGCCTGCTACCACAATCAAGGGCAAGACTGGGTTGGCCTCTGTGTCTGCCACCAAGAAGAACCTTTAGCTCCACTGCTGGCTGCAACCCAGCAGGCGTGGAGCGGTGGGGACACATGCCATGCCAGACCTTGATGTGAAGGATGGCCTCCCCTTTTACCAGAGAGCCATACGGCAGAAAAAAGTGGCAGGCCCAGTAGCCTGTAGTTGGCATATGTTGAAAATATGATCTAGCCCAAATCCCCTGCTCAAGTAGGGTCATCCAAAAGATACATAAAACAAAAAGGGGGAGATGTGGAGACAGTGTTCTCACAGGAGAACGCATAATTGGTGCAAAAACGGAATAATCCTGAAAGATACAGCAAGGCCGTGAGAGGCCCGAGGAAGCTTAAGCAAGCAAGATAAGAAGCTGTAATTCACTGAGTTAATGAGAACTGTGGGCTGTTGGCAAGCTTTCGAGGTCAAGTTCTCACACCTGTGCTTAACGAATTGTGTGTTGGTTGCTAAGGGTCTTCAAGACATGTATCCAATCATAATATGCCAAATCACTGTAAGTGACTGTAAGAAATGGTATATAAGGAGTTAAAGCTTTGTAATAAATTGGCATTCGCTGATCACATTGATCGTTCCTGCGTTGTCCGTGACTAGCGTGTCGACAGGGGCCAACATTCCTGCTGCTGAGAGCCGGCTGGAGAAGCTGGGCAGCCGCAAGAAGGAAGTGGTGGTCAATGGGCACGTGCCCTACTCCTGGACTTTGCGACACATCAGCGAGGACAGCATGGATGCTGCAACGGAGGCCAAGGTTGTGGAGAGACCCTGGGAGATGGCACACAGACTGCCGGACATGGTAACTAGCAAGCAGGATGTGGACCCTGTCCCGGGTGCCTTGGTGGCAGTAGTGGCACCAGTGCAGGACAGGGGTGCTGAGGCCAAGTCCCATGCCTCCGTGGTGTGGGCTACCACCGGTAAGGCCAAGCTCGTGCACAGCCATGTGTCAGCATGGGGTGGCTGCAGCACTGGCATCACTGCAGCACTGGCACAAGTGTCCATTGAGACAAAGGGGGACAAAATCACAAAATGG